ACACACACAAACAAACACAAACACACACACACACACACACACACACACACACACACACACACACACACACACAAACAAACACACACACACGCAAACAAACACACACGCAAACAAACACACACACACACACAAACAAACAAACACACACACACAAACAAACACACACGCACACACAAACAAACACACACAAACAAACAAACACACACACACACACACACACACACACACACACACTCACTCACACACACACTCACACACTCACTCACTCACTCACTCACTCACTCACTCACTGATGTTTAGTAGAGTTGAGTTGTACTGTATTGTCAGTGTTTGAGTAATCAGTAGCCGCATTTCCACTATCGCGCCTAAAGCGAGCAAGCCAGGGCGAGCCAAGGCCAGTGGCGTTTCCACTGTCACTTCCGGGGCTTAATCGGGCCAAAGCGGGGCTTTCTTGGGGCCAGCGGCCGGCCTTTTTCGGCCCGCCGAATACCTTGGGCCAAAGAGGGCCAGCCGGGGCTTCGGGGCGGAGTGAAAGGAGAGGCGGGCACAGTTTTCCGATCGCACACGAGTACATGCGCCAAACACATAAACAAACAAATAAATAAGAGAAAGAAAACATCTGGAACAAATTATAGGCTGGGGTCTTTTTTTGCAAATGATCGCCCTTATGTTTCTCTTTTAAATGTAAGGTTTTTGCATAAAATGATAGTTTTAATAAGTCACTTTTCTTTGCTGCATCTTTGATGTTTCAATAACGCATACTAATCTTTACACCATTTTAAAGACACAGCAGACAGTAAAGGTTTTCAAGAGGTTTTGTCAAGTTTAATAAGTGTTTTTGCGCGTTTAGATGCCTGTGTATATGTGTGAGACCGAGGAAAAGAGCGCTCCATTCATAGCTCTGTTGATGCCGCGAGCGGCTTTTGTCTTTTCTTTTTATTGTTTTAATTTATTTCGGAGATAATACACTATATGAATACAACAGAAAGACATTAAACTTTACAATTTTCATGTCCACTTTTGTAGACTCAAAACAATAGTGTCATATTTAGATAAAATAGCCTAAGCTTGCCTAAATTGAAATAATTTAAAGAATTACAAATATCAGATAGGCCTATAATAAAATCACATTAAATAAATAAACCAATATAAAACTAACAAAAGCTATAGCTATAACAATTAGGTACTATATCAAACTGTTTCAAATTTATATTAAACTTTCATTTTTCAAAAGCCTCTTTGATAAAAAGATTTTCTAAAAAATAAATAAATAAATAAACACCGGATAATGTTTTAAATATTATTTATAAAGTATTTGGATACGATGATATTAATCAAATCATGCAAACAGAGCATTTTCGGGGTGAGTGAACGCAGAAACTAGGCGACCTTTTTTTCTGTCTTCCAGCTGCGCAGCACTTTTTTGACGGGGAAAACAGCAAGTTCAAAATGTGTTCTGTGTCCTCAAACAAGTGTGTGTTTTTTTATATAACGTGGTAAAATTAAAAAAGGAAATTTTAAATACATAAAGAGCTTTATTAGTGCATAGCTGCTGAGCGCAACGAAATATAGGCTATATTTTATTACGTGCTGCTCTTATGTGCTGAAACACTGAACACTTTCCTTTACTTAAGATATAATAAGCAACATCTTTAAATAAAGGGAATCAACTATTAAGTGTCATAAAGCCTATAGGGGAAAAAAAATCATGTTTCAGTTCTCTCCGGAGCATTTGGGATGAATGTTGGACAGATTCTGTCTAGAGGATGTTATAAAATACACTTTATATCGAGTTATTAACGGAGAATTTGATATATGTGGTGTTATATTATGGATGTGTGCGCTCCCTGCGCTGGGTTCCTCCGTTAGTGGCAAGACCACTGGATTTCGATGCCAGTGGGTCGGCGAGTAAATGATGAATGAAAACACACAGGCATGTGCGTATAGACATGCGTTGTACTGCTGTACAGTAACGAGTCATTTGTTTGTTTTGGTTGTCCTATTTTTAATAGTTTCGTGATGGTGTGATGGTGTGCTTTATCTGCATGATTCTCGCTATAGTGGGCGGTTTGAGTGACGTTCGATTCGGGGGATGTTCTGGGGGCGGGGTTTGCTGACGCGCTGCAAGCTACTAGCCCCACAGTGGAAACACGACATGATTTCGGCCTCACTGCTCAACCTCCCAGGCGATTGGCCCGGCCCGGCCCGATATAAGCCCTGGCTCGCACTGGCCTGATAGTGGAAATGCGGCTAGTGAAGCGTTCGTCAGATGACTGTTGTGTGTGTTGTGGCTCAGGATCCCGCTGTGTTCGCTCATTAATCAGCATCTGGCTCAACTGGCCCGCAAGTTTCCTCAGAGTAAGTTCCTGAAGTCCATCTCCAGCACCTGCATCCCCAACTACCCCGACCGCAACCTGCCCACGCTGTTCGTGTACCGCGACGGAGAGATGAAGGCGCAGTTCATCGGCCCGCTGGTGTTCGGAGGGATGAACCTCACCTGTGACGGTCAGTGTATAAACAGATCAGCAATAAGACACCTCACTTACTGTCTGTCTTGTTTATAGACCAAATGTCTATACATTCTTAAATCAAGAAGCCTTTTCTAGACGAGCAAAAAATAATGTGCTGTTTTCAGAAATAATGAGTCAAAATGAAGAGAGTTTCTCCTTAAAACAAGCAGAATAATCTGACAATGGGGGAAGCCCAAAAGTGTAAATGAGATCTGGGAGATTATTTCACTTGTTTAAATAGAAAAAAAGCTGCTTTCCTGTAGTACAGACACATTGTGCTCAAAGT